TACACATATGAGCATTCCACATGTGCCAGTAAGGAAGGAAGTCTCTAAAGATGGTTAGAAACTCATGAAACTAATAGCACATGATCGATCAAGTGCATCAGAATTTAGTGCCAGTAGCAATTTCATTATTTTCCTAGGCACAACAGAAGCACAAGCTACCCATACAAGATAGCGGCACCATACAAAGTCAAAGAATTGCATTTCAGAATGGTAGCAACATCATACTAGTGATTTCATCATAGTACCAGCAGGATACAAGATGACCTCAAATGGAGCTTGAATATCTACACATCTCCACAGAAAAGCACATAATTTTTTTACCAATTGCTCACCAGCAGACAATTGGACGATCCAATTCTTGCCTGCCTCGTCCTGGATAAAACTAAATGTGTAAATCTGGTGCTAGTTACTACCCACTCAAAGATACATAACTTTGCTAAAGAACAGACAATGTAAAGTACTGAACTGATTGACCTGGAGCCTACTACAGTGCTACCGCCGAGTGCAACCAACCATGGAGCACTGAACGGAGACACATAACACTGAACTGATTACCTAATCTAGTAGAAACTGAATCATGGAGCGCAGGGATCAACCGAAGGCTATAGATTTATAGCACACGGGAACTTGTGAAGTACATACAGGCAGGGGTGTGAAAAAAGTCAGAGATAGATAGCAGGTGAGATCTAAGGCATTATTGTCCCCATCAGTACCAAAGAAGAAGATTAAATTAAAGGACAAATAATAGTAACACCTGCATTCTCTTCATACTGATTGCTAGTGAGTGTTTATTGCAAGCTTTCTTTTTCCAACTAGCGACAACACAGTCAGACGAGTAGCAACTGTACAACACAGCCAGATTGGTTTATTTATTATCAAATGGGCAATCTTACAATTTCTTTTATCTTTTGTGCTGTTACCATCTTTAGTTCAGATATCGTACACTTCCATATGCATTATGTCTGAATATTCCATATGCTACAATTCAGTAGAGACTTTGTCTAAACATTCCATATCCGGCGAAGAAAGGAGGAGGGGAAGGGGATTTACCGATCGTGGTCTCATGGAGGAGCAACATTGTAGGGTAACGGGCAACGTTGTAATACGGTGGTGGAGGTCACCGGTGGGCTCATCAGTGCCGGCGGCCAGCGGAGTGGGAGAAAAAGCCGACGACCAAGACGATGATGGCGACCAAGAAGATGCCGTCGCCGGCAGCAGAGAGGAGGTAGGGGGTGGATAGTATGAGAGAAGAGGAGAGGAGAAGCAGCGTTGGCGGTGGAGAATGGTGGCGGCAGCGGCGGCGGCACAGGGTGGTGGCCATAGGAATCCTAGAGGAGAGAGACTCGGGTGGGGGAACGGGGGAGTGGAGGCAAGGGTTGGAGCGCTTCTGTTTGTCAGGAACTAGTGGGTTCGGCCCATGGACCAGAACCATTATGAGCCGCTGTGATTTGAAATCAGGCCGCACGGCTTGCACCGCACCAGATCGGTGATCCGCTGAACCCGCTCCAGTCCAGATCATTTTCTTGCTGAACCCGTTTGAACCCGTGCCATTTGAGAAGTACACGAAAACCAACCATTTGGACCCTACACGAACCCACCCCAATCCCAGGTTGAGTCGTAAGCAAGAGCTATGGCCTATGGTTACAAAATTTGCTTTACACTGCAGTGCCAGAATGAATTTTGCTCAACTCTTAGTTGATGTATCATTGTATGGATATATGCAAGAATAATTTTGTGCCTTCGCTTTGTTGGTGTCATGGGTGTTTTTTTGAATTTATATACACCATCTACCAACTACAAAACCTCAATTGCTCGAAGTCATTCTAAACACAAACAGTTGGTTACAAATACAAAGGCTTCTCTGCACCACAATTTACAGGAGGCTCATTTAGACAACTTTGATTTTCCTGTAACCAAAGGAGAAGTGCAGGAATACTACACACACATGAATATTTCCTTTCCTGCAGTTTGGTTCATACGAATTGTTGTAGGAATTTTGGATGATAGGGAAGAAATTCCTTTGCTTTCACAGGAATCGTACAGGGTTCCAAACATCTACTCCCATCTCTTTTTTTCTCAAAATTTGTGGGTGCCCGAGGCAAATCGAGCTTCATCAAATTAATTAGACAAACAAACTCACCACCCCAGCCAACCACAGCCGCTCATCGTTGCGACTGGGCTGTTCACGGCGTGGGATACAAGAGAAGTGGCATGGTTGGATACTGATTTGTGTTTGATCGTTTTTAGGGGGTATTTGACCGTTTGTGTGGGTGCCTAAGTTATTTTTTCCCCTTTTTATATCAAAGGACCTGTGAGTTGGTGCTTTTGGTTCAATCCACTTCCGTATATGGTTGACATGAATTAGATGGGTCAATTTATTAAGAAAATACGATTTGTTCTTATTATGTTGTTAGGCAAGTTTGTTTATGGAAAAAAGTTGTTAAGCCAATTTATTAATTTTAGTTAGATTCCTTTATTTTTTTCCTTTTCTGCAAACCAAATGACCAACGTGGAAAAAATCCTGTGTTTTTCATTCCTCTGTTTTTGACCTTGATTCCTATTCTATTCCCGTGTTTTTTCTATTCCTGCATTTTTCCTATCCGATGAACCAAAGGGAGCCTAATATGTGTCAATGTGATTTATGACCTCAGTTCTGTACTTATATTGCATTATTTCTCTACCTGTTTCCATGACGTGAACACCCAGCTATAACACACTATCAAATTGCAGAATCTGAGCATTTGATGGAGCAACTGAGTCTGTTAGAGTACGTAATGGGCCTAATGGGCCCATTAGTCTTAGGGTTAATTAGAGATAAGGGTCGTTTGCTTAGGGGTCAAGTAAGCCTTGCTTGAGAGTCAAGTAAACCTCTCTATATAAAGAGAGGAGATGTATCAATCTAATCAAGCAAGAATTAAGAAGGAAATCCCTTCCCTCTTGCCCGGCCGTGGGCAAAAAGGCCCTCGGCCAGCCTTCTCGCGCCCTCCTTCTAGCAGCGCCATAACAATTTGGTATCAGCTAGCTTCGGTTCGATCATGTCTTCACCACCGCCAAGCCCGTCTCTTCCGCTGCCGGTCACCTTGTCGCCTCCGGCGACCACCACGACCGTCACCCCGCTCCTGCCCGCGCCGGGATCCTCTGTCGCGCCCACCCCCACCGTCCTCACCTGGGAGGACGTGTCCGGGGTGCTGCGGGACCTAACCCAAACGGTCCAGGAGATCCACCTGTTCTTTGTCGGGTCCTACGGGCCGCACTCGGTTGCGCCGCCCATCGCCGCCCCCGCGCCGCCGTGGCTGCCGTGGCAGCCGCCGCACCAGGCGGCCTTCGCCGCGCTCGCCGGGCCGCTGCAACTGCCATCCATCGCCACCACCGCCCAGCCCTGGCTGCAGTACAGCCGCCGCTCCTGGCGGCCTCCGCCGCGCCCGGCGCGACAGCGCAGCAGCCGCTGCAGCTGCATCAGCCACCGCCGGTCAGCTCCGCCGCCCAGTATGGGATGCCCTACGACGGGAGTGCGACGACCTCGTTCCCATCAGCGCCGCCGCCATCCCAGGGCGTCCACATCCAGCAGATCAAGTCCCTGCCGTCGCTGTCACCGCTTCCGTCTTGGATCGCTACCCGCCACGTGTCGGCGGCGGTGAGGCTGCAGGCTGCTGCGCGCGGCCTCCTAGCGCGTCGGCGTGTGCGGGAGATGCGTGGTCTGCAGCTGCTGCTCCTCCAAGTTGCCCTTCGCTGCGCAAAGGACCTCGATCTCGTCCGCTGCGTCGGTGATCTTGGGCATGTGGTTTCCCCCACGGGCGGCCGGCATGCTGTTTTCCCCGCGGGCAGCGACCTCAAAGTCTGCGACATCGGCGGTTGGGGGGGCGCACCCCTCCTCGTCATTCTCCATCGCAAGCCCTCCACTCTTCCCTGTGCGGTGCAGACCAACAACCATACACATGCACTCCTTTTGTCCAGGTGGTGTCCATGGGATCCAGGTGGCTGTACACGTGCACCTCCAAAATAAAGCGTCCTAGTCTATTTCAGGTTGAGAATAATAAAACAAGCCGAGATGTAAAAGGCTTGTTTTTAGGTGTTAGGTTTGTGTTGCGTCGAGTCATGGTTATAAGTTGGTTAGGCTGCAGCTCGAGGACAAGCTGCATGTCCAGGTGGGGTGTAGTGTTAGAGTACGTAATGGGCCTAATGGGCCCATTAGTCTTAGGGTTAATTAGAGATAAGGGTCGTTTGCTTAGGGGTCAAGTAAGCCTTGCTTGAGAGTCAAGTAAACCTCTCTATATAAAGAGAGGAGATGTATCAATCTAATCAAGCAAGAATTAAGAAGGAAATCCCTTCCCTCTTGCCCGGCCGTGGGCAAAAAGGCCCTCGGCCAGCCTTCTCGCGCCCTCCTTCTAGCAGCGCCATAACAGAGTCCCAGTGGACCTGTTCCTCAATCCTCATGGTCATTGGATATCATTCCTACGAAAGTAGCTTGCACGCTATCACAGGGATCTAATGTAACTAGCATGGACTTTCATCCTTACAACAACAACAACAACAACAACAACAAAGCCTTTAGTCCCAAGCAAGTTGGGGTAGACTAGAGGTGAAACCCATAAGATCTCGCAACCAACTCATGGCTCTGGCACATGGATAGCAAGCTTCCATGCACCCCTGTCCATAGCTAGCTCTTCGGTGATACCCCAATCCTTCAGGTCTCTCTTAACGGACTCCTCCCATGTCAAATTCGGTCTACCCCGCCCTCTCTTGACATTCTCCGCACGCTTTATCCATCCGCTATGCACTGGAGCTTTTGGAGGCCTGTGCTGGATATGCCCAAACCATCTCAGACGATGTTACAACAATCTAAGCATCATCTAACTTAATCATGATAATGATAGAATGGCGGTGATCCAGCATCTGGAAGCATAGATAAAAAGCGAAGAATTTCAGAAGAAAAGTCTGATAAAGGGAAACCTTGGGATCTGAAGGAAGTTCTAAATCCCCAGAAATTTCTTCTTGATACAATGCTAGAAACTGACCAAGCCAGCAAGGTTCGGCCCATCTTATTATTGATTGTTTGCTTGTACTTCTTATTACAGACGTTTGTTGATCTCCAAGAATAATTCTTATGTGATGTCTGCATGTGCTGGAAAGGTATCAAAGGTGCTCGACGACGATGACCTCCTCAGGGAGATCATTATCCGCGTCGGCTTCCCCACCACCCTTGTCCGTGCTGCCCTTGTCTGCAAGCGCTGGTACCATCATGCCTCTGAACCCGCCTTCCTCCGCCATTTTTGCGAGCGCCACCTGTCCTGCCTCCTTGGCTTCTACGTCGAGGATAGGGAAGATCATAAAATGGCTTCTATTCGGTTCTTCAGTTTGCTAAATAAGCCCCGAGAACTTGCTGCCATCGTCCGCTCTCTGCTGGGCTACAGTTGGGACGCCTACCGCAGCGCGCCGGCCAACTTCCTCTGCTCCCGGAACGGCAGAGTCTTCATCAGCTTGTACGACCAGGTCAACCGCAGCAAATTTACAGTTGGGGCGCACAGTCCATTATGTCCTGAGAGAGGCCTGACTGTTGTCCCACCATTCCCACACATTGAAATCCAGGATGGCTATTCCCGCACGATGAATGATCTCTTCTCCGTAGATGAAGTCAATGACTTGTCCTTGTTGCATGTGTTGGTGGTGTCTAACATGCAGAGAACAAAATCTACGGTGCACGTACATATGTGGCGACATGGTGATGGTGTGTGGCGCACGTATCTTACCTTGGACACAGACCAGCTCCTTGATCCACGACGGGAACCAAAATCTGTGCTCGCCAACAATAAAATCTACATAGCAAGCGCCCAGAGCGACATTGTTGTCTTTGATTTGATTGCCTCGAGCATCTCTATGTTTCAGCTCCCACAAGGGGTGGAGTATGGCGATACAGATACCATGTTGGCACAGGCTCAGGATGCTTCTGGTGTGTATCTCATCCATGCAAAGAAGCTTCAGCTTCACATTTGGCTCCACAAGGGGGACAACTGGTTACTGGTGGACACCATTTGTTTGCGTGAGATGGTAGCTAATATGTGGATTCCAGGTTACAGGGTTGAAGATGATTCCTACGCTCCTCTCCGGATAAAGCATGTGGGGGACCATGCTGAGTTTATGTTCTTGGAGATGGGTCGATGCGCACTTCAATTAGATGTCAAGTGCATGCAGTTGCGTAAAGTGTATGTCATGGCAGAAGAAGAAGTGCGTTTGGGTGATATCCATCCTCTTAAGATGATTTGGCCGCCCATATTCCCTGCGCTCAAGGATAATCCTGCAAGGTTTGCCTTTTGGCCTTCAGATGATTTGTATATTGCTTTTGTTCGGGTTACATAGTTTTGCAAGGTGCACTACTCATTGACTGTTTGGTATAGCTGCGGGATGGTGTTAGTATATGATTGATTCTTTAGGCCATTTTAACAGTATACTAGTTTAGCGACAAGATAATGCTTGCATTAAGGTGTCTTGAAATCACTTGTGCATTAAGATGGTGTTAGTGGTGTAATATTACATGGTGTACTATGTACAAAAGTACAAAACGTGTATATAAGAGTTGAAAGTGCATAGCCTTGTTATCATGTTGACCACTTCATTGTCCTGAAATATTATCGCAAACCTGAAATTTTAGCTTCCCATTTCTTAAATTTTGGTGTATTTTTTCACTGCCTACCTTTGAGCTGTGAACCTCAAGCTTACGAGACGTTTTCACTGAACTTATGTATGCGATTTTATTTTCTGAAACTTTATGTATGCGATTGTTTTATTCTGAAACTTATGCATGAGGTTGTTAATACTTGTTTCTTTAAGAATGTCGCTTAGTGGATTTTATTTTTTTCTTGACACAAGTGGTTGTTGATTTTACATGGTCAGGTATGATTGAGCTTATGCATGAACCGTGAAAGTTCGTTTTATACTTTGGGTAGTTTGTGCTTGTGTGTGAAGCACACCTTTCCCTTTGGATGATCAGGTATTTGTTTTACTGGAATGCAACTATGAAATGGAACATGCCAGTCTGCAATATGAGGGTATTTAAGCTTACAGGCTGGAGCTTTTGAAAAATAAAACTAATGATAATAAAAATGCTATCCTGATGCTGAATTAACTCTACTCTATCCTGATGCTTTTGTTTACAGCTCTTAACACCTAGTGACGAACATACATACTCACCAAATATAATTAGCTGCTAACTCCATATCATTTAAAAAAAGGGGATTTGATTATGCAGGTTTAGGCACTCCAATTATTATGGCATAGTTGCTAATTAGGTGCATACTGCCGGCTGATAGTGACAATCTCTTTGAGCTAGCTGCTACATTCAGTATACACAAAAGGGTTGCAAAAGTTTCAGTTGAAACAACACATCTTTATAGAATAATATGTACAACACGATCCCCATTTACTCTGCTTCAGTTTCAGTTTTGCTAGTAATAATCCATGCGGTGTCAGTAGTTAGTTTCAGTCCTGGATGTCGTTTTTATTCAGTTCCGTCACTTAGCTGTTGTCAGTTATATCATTGGCCTATGACAAGATGCTGTGCATATTCTCGTAACCAGATATCTGCCTTTTATTTACCACTACATGAATCACTGGAAGTAGTAGTTTGTGGCTGTCATGTTAAATATGTTGTTCTTTTGCGGTGATTCGTTCTGAAACAACCTGTCAGCTCATTTGTATATTTATAAAACCATGCATTTTGATGGTATAAATACTCCCTTTGTTTTCTCTCCCTTTTATCCTACCCTAGCAATTTGTTAGTTATTGTCTGTGTCGATGAGAGCAAGATCAGTGAAATAGTTTCTGAAATCAAAAGTAAACTTATTCCAGCATCTGGTCTATGTACCTCTGTGTGCAAATCCATTCATATTCTGATAAGTAGTTTTCATTTTGTTCTGCATTTAGTATGGCTCTTGACTGAAATCTTAATGTTTTTGTATTGCTTTCCCAGTTAGCAGTAGTAAAGAAAAACCTAGTGTAGTTTAGGGATGGAGCAATTATCGTTTATCGGTGAAGGAATTTTTTGTTCATGTCAACTTGCAATGTCTATTCATATTCAATACAAACTTCAGTGATGCACTTTTGTCATGTTCTACTAACTGCCTCGTGCCATTAGAAGGTCACCTTGATCCTTAGTCTTCTAAGTCATCACACATGTTTAATACACACTCCCAAATAAATTCATATATGATGACCTCTGCAATCTTCTTCAGCTCCAAATAAATTTTCATGGAGGGGGCAAAGCTCAAGTTAGAAGAGTTGCAGGGGAGCCAGTCAGCACCATTTGATAGATGAATTGCAAGTGCAAGTGTACGAAGAGGAGAGGATTGCACAGTAGTCATGGAAGAACAAGATTCAACTGGAGGCCAAGCTAGCATTTAGGGATGGGAGGATAGAAGAGCTGGAAGGGAAGGTTGAAGAACATGATAAGAAGGATGTTGCGCAACAAGAGCTCAAAGTCGCGGAGATAAGATGATCAGATTTTCAGTGGCATCTGCCTTAACTTGCATTTATGTTAAGTTGTGACTAGTAAGGAATCAACAAGTGATTATGTGAAAAGTGAATGTTGAATTTTAGATCATTGCTTTGCGAATAACAACTCTGTCCAAACATGTTTTTTTTTTCATATTAATGAATGGTGTTTTAGATATGTACTTGCAGTCCATGCTTTGTGAATAACAATTCTGCCAAAACTAGATGGATTGAAACATACTCCCATCACAATACACTACGAGCCCAGTATGCAAAAAAAAAAAGGCCTCTTGGCTGTTGTATGGCATAACTAAGTTTTCTCACATTAGCACCTCTGTCACCAGTCACCAAGCAAAGAAAATCAAAACTCCAGTAGACTAAATTAGCAGTCACTTGGGTCCAGCCTTCCCATAAGAGTCACTCAGAGTAACAGTCCAGCCTGAACACGAGCTTCTCGGGCGTCAAGGGCGTGTTTGGTTCCCTGTGTTGCATGTGGCTCGCAACCACCGTGCAGAATTTGGGTTGTTTGGTGTGCTGCATGGGCTCTTCGGCCTGGCCCGCGGATGCAAAAAAGGCCCTCTCAGCCAGGCTGAGGGAAACGTGGGAATCGGGCGTATCTCGCGTCCAGGCTCGCCCTCGCTCGTTCGCGTTTCTCCTTTCCCCTTCTGTCGCTGCGCCGCATCCTCTCTGTAGCCTGTGGCCGCTGTCCTTGATGAATCCTGCCGCTGCCGCCGCCGCCACCAGCACCCTCGTCAAGCGTTGTTGTCCTCGTCCGCCTCCACCAAGCGCCGCCGCCGCCGTCCTTGTTTGGTTCCACCAAGCTCCGCCACCGCCGTCATTGACCAAGGGCCGACACTGCCGTCCTTGGTTAACCGCCGCCGCCGTCCACGTCGGATCCTGTCATCTCGTGTCGCCCCACACCGGATCCTGCCGCCGCACGCCGGATGAGGCCACCTTGCGCTGCCGCAAGCGAGATCCCATCGCCTGGAGCCGCTAAGGGATCCCCGTTTCTTTCTGATTTCAGTGAGATTCAGAAGAATCTGCACCTCGTGCAACTATATGATACAGGTTCACCAAACGCCCATCTCGGTTCATTCTTGAATCGGCTCAACCAGGCCACACTCGCCCAGCATCCCCCGTGCAATGCAGCCTGAATGTCCCCAGGGAACCAAACACGCCCTAAGGCCGTGCCCACAGCAAAGTAGCCTGAAATTACATTACGTTCAAGCACAGCGAGTTGCATCGACATGTACAGCCAACATGTTACAGAGAGAGGTTAATTCAGAGATTACCAAGCCGCTCAAACTGGAACTTGTCACCGACAATTGCGGTCGCAGGCAACGGTACATCATCTGCGCCCTTTACAACCTCTCTTGAGTGCGGGCTGAGATCGCACAGCCAAATCTTCTGATTCTAAGAGAGCAAGAAACACATCACAAGAAAAGCAACTTGCCAGTCTGCATTTTCTGGGAAATGCATGCCTAGCAATTAAATTGACAAGAATCGAACTGTAAATATGCCAACGAATAGCCAATGGGTTTCATGTACAGCCAATATATGAATTTATTCTAAGCCCAATTGAAGCATTGCTTCCAGTTCAGAGAACATGTTTATGCAATTTTTATGTTTACGCACATGTTTATTGCTTACGTATCAAAGTTGCTGTACTTTTTTTTTGCGGGCATGTTTATGCAATTTCCTCAATTTCCACTTATGATCCTGCCCAACGAGCACTTCTGAATGTCAGTAATCATTTTTTACATGTATCTTGTTCCAGTAACCATTTTCTATAAGTGGAATGTTTATGCAGTTCTGAACAAAAGAAATGGTTCTGAAAGCAGATTACAACTTGATTTTCTTCGCGAGTGATAGGTAATTAACACGTATATACATATATAAGGGGGGCTTTTTGACTTGATTTGTTGCCTAGCGACATATGGTCTCTGAACATCACAGGTTTGAAAGTAGATCTCACCAAAGGACATCTCATTTGGTCCAGTTTTTGCCCATATATATCATCTCTTGTTTTGATATAAATACTTGAAGTTCTCTCTGATACTCGCAAATGTAATGAGATAAAAATACCTATTTGCTATAGGTGATAAAAACCACGGAATGATGGATTGTCATTGAATAGAGCAACCTGTGATTCTTGAATAGTATTAATTTCCTCTGTTTTTTCTTGGATAAAGTATTTTTACCTGTGAAGAAAAACTAGTATTATTACCTGTGATAAAAATACAATATTATTCTTGAATACAGTCTTATTTTTCTCAATAGAACCCCTGTTTTGTATTTATGCAATCCCAGAATGGTTCAGGTTATCTTCAGCATTTTGTATGGTCCTGAGTATTCTGATTCCAAAAGCAACCAAGCTACTAAAAACTTTCACCTGCTAATAACCCAGACTAACATAATGTTAGCTAAAAAAGGCGCTATGTAACAAAATCAGATGCAACTCTGAAGGGAACACATGGGATTGTTATCTTTGTAGTGAAACATTTTAATTTTGTCGTCTTTATCCACGATTCAAGTACTCACTTTGTAGCTGGAACAGAGAAAGGTGCGGACAGAGCAAAAAAAATGTAGCTCAGTAGTATTGCATCAGGTAATGTGTAAGGGGATGAGCCTTCCACCCAATTTTACGAAGTCAATTGATGAACCGCTTGAAGAACGCTTGAGATGTGCATTCAAGAATGGCAACAGAAACATGAATCTCTGTTTTAGTGTTTGCACATCTCACCCATTTCAGTTGTATATATAATCCGTTATACCTCTAGAAAAGGAGAATTTTACAAACAGGAATAATATTGCAGAAGTCTGCATGAGGTAAAGTACATACTTATGAACAGCTTACTAGGTATGAGAAATGAGATATCGTGTTATTCGAGGATGCTCAGTTCATAGATAACTCTGTCCAATGGACCATGAAGGAATATTTCTGTCACTAAGCAATATGGCCATCAGAACTTAGGGTTCAGGTTGACAACGGGAAGAAACACTTTCTGCCAGAGTTCAGGTTGAGAATGGAAGAAACACTTACTTCTAGACTGACCGGTGGTTGGTCGCTGGACATGATCGCCCCTGAGCTCGTTGAGGTGTGGAACTCTGGACCATATGCCTACCAGGGCAAGGATAAAAACCGCCTTGACTGCCTTTGCGTACTGGTAATCAGTGTCGACCAATATGGAGGAAGAGAAATTCTCTAGGCTGCTTGACAACTAGATCATTTGCGACTGTTGTGGTAATCATTTTCCCCAAATATGTTTAATCCAAAGTTCATTTTTTTTTCTTTTGAGAGTAGGATAATTTCATCATCAAGTAGTAATACAGCATATCTATTCAACATGTAGAAATAACACCCATAATTAACCCAGAATTTGGAAACTGTAACAAAAATCCGGCCACTCAGCATACTTTATTGATCACATAACAAGATTACATCGTTTATCATGAACTTTAATGTAAATATATCTAATAGAACATGATGTAATTGGTAGGCATGTAGTGGCAAATAGGTTCACCACGCTCTCCGCCTAACAGCTCAAAGTACTGCTCGTCCCAATCAGATGTGTTCATGTGGCACATTGCTGTTGCCGTCACGCCTGGTGTTCCATCTTTCAAGCCCTTGAGTTGCACCGTCAAAGACTGCACCTCTCTTGGCCGATGGCAATAAAAGACCTCATAGGGGAAATCCATAGGGTGGCATGGCACCGCATTATTGCTGGCTTGGGCGATCTGTGCCACAACATACATGGTGTTGGGGGTCTCATGCCCATGAATTCTTGTAATGGCTGCTCGTGCGCCGCTGACTCCCAAAGCCTTGGTAGCAAACCTGGCCATTGCTTCGCGAGATGAGAAGCACATGTGTGGCTCCTCCTTGTCAGCCGGTTTGCCGCATGAACGAAGGGTGTCAGCTACCTGCTGGGCCTTTATCGAGCTGTGAGGTATCTTGTAATGTGAAAGGATGGTTGACAAGTACTTTGACTCCAACGGAGAAGAGACAGAATTGACAGACTTTGGTGAACCGCCTCGTGCAAACATGGTTCCTTGCGGCAGTACAGTGCCAACACGCAGATTCTTCTTCAAGAACAACATGCCAGTCTGAACTTTGATCTGGTGGCGTTTGGCTTGTGCTTCAGGAACAACAGAAGCTGCATAGTTATAAATTAAAAAAATAATATCAGTTCATCAAAAATATCGACATGCAAAAATTATTTAGGAGATTCAATACATATATAAACAAACTAAGAGCTTTTATCCGGCCTGAACACTTGCTAAAATTGGTAAGGGTGGCGCAAGTACTTGGTAAGGGTAGCACATGTGCTTACTTGAAGGTGTGTGATCTGGATCCCAATGTACCGCATAAGCACTTGCACCAAAACCATTTACTTCTGGAGAAAATAACAAACTATGAGTTGATTCACAACTAACATTTTTGCAACTTGGTTCAGATAGCATAGGCACTTACTTGAAGGTGAGTGATCTGGATCCCAATGTACCGCATAAGCACTTGCACCAAACCCATTTTCTTCTATAGAAAATAATAAAGGATGAATTATTCACAATTGACACAATCTTGAATTGGTAAACATTGCATAAGTACTTACCTGAAAGGGCATGATCTGGATCCCAGTGTACCGCATAAGCACTTTCACCAAAACCCCTGTCTTCTATAGGAAATAACACATATGTGATATATGATTCAGACTTGGCATATACAGAACTTGATAAGGTAGCACAAGTACTTA